ATATATATAATATATTCTGTATATATATATGTATATATACCTGTATATATATGTATATATATGATCTATATATATATATCTGTATATATATCTGTATATATCTGTATATATCTGTATGTATCTGTATGTATATATGTATATATATGATCTGTATTCAACCGTATGTACCGCACTTCTAATCACACTCTGAACGCTACATGATTGGTCATTACAGCTACGGCCTGTCTACGTGCCTAATTGCATACCAACTGGCGGCCCAACTCAATCGCCGGGACAATGAAGTGCTGTGGTGTGCTGTGGTTGGGCTAACAGACCAATACGTTCAGCAGACCATCGACTTTGCACTATACATAAACGAAGTACAAAAGCTCAGAGACGAGGTGTGTGTTGTAGCTATTTGCGTAGATATGTATGCACACAAGTGTATAGTACTTGTTATGCGTATATACGGTGTGTGCTGTAGCTATTTGCGTAGAGAGGTATATACACAAGTGTAGAATACTTGTTATATGTATATACGTGCTTATAGATATAGGTTTTCCCTAGCTAGGCTAGTAGTGTGGGTTTATTTCGGGGTGTGGACAGAAAAGACCAGTGCATATAGCACGCCATCGGATTGGATTTGTATGTCAAGCGTATGCCGAACCCAAATGTGGGGGTGTATTGATTGAGGGGGCGCGTAGCTACACACTATAGACGCGGGTGTATGGGCACTACATACATTCATACACTTCCCTTATGATAAGCGAGTGGTTGTAGACTATTGTGGTGTGTAGAGACTTTGTACACCCTATCTTCTATCACCACTACCGTATAGATGAATTTACGAAGTACTTGGTATCTATCAACACACCCCACACATAGATACCTATCCATTTGGTTACTAAAACTTATTACGTACACAGCATCAACACGAGCTACACACCCAAACTGTACATACACGACTGTAAATACAAACAAAAACATAAACAAACGCTACATACGCGACTATAAATACAAACAAAAACATAAACAAACATTACATACACGACTATATATATAAACAAAAACTTAAACAAACATTATATTCACAACTATAAAAATAATCCTAAACATAAACAAAAATTACATGCACGACTATATATATAAACAAAACATGAACAAACATTATATTCACAACTATAATAATAATCCTAAACATAAACAAACATTACATGCACGACTATATATATAAACAAAACATGAACAAACATTACATTCACAACTATAATAATAATCCTAAACATAAACAAACATTACATGCACGACTAAATATATAAACAAAACATGAACAAATATTACATTCACAACTATAATAATAATCCTAAGCATAAACAAACATTACATGCACGACTATATATATAAACAAAACTTGAACAAACATTACATTCACAACTATAAAAATAATCCTAAACATAAACAAACATTACACGCACGACTATATACATAGACAAAAACATAAACAATCTTCCATGCTCGTCCGTATACAATGCGTACAGTCGCAAGACACACACGCGCGCATCTCCCGTACATTCGCACACTCACTCGTATCAACACCAACCGCTTAGGTTTTGAGGTTCAACCCCATCGAAGAAGCCGATGCACATGAGACCCAAAATAATCGAACCGGCAAGTTACAAAATATGGACCACAGCGTCATCCGAGCGGCAGACGAGTTTAAACTGATGACCATGCGACACTGGTATGTCTTGCTTTGACGGTCTCGTCTATTTATAGGGCAATCTATTAATAGCAATCTATTAATAGCAATCTGAATAGGAATTTAAAAATAGCTACAGTTTGTGGCGCGTATGAGATTCCGACGATTGTGTGATTTTGTCAAGTCCTGATATCCTGTCGACAAACGTAATCTATTTATAACCCTCAACCCCAAAACCATAAACCCTAAAACTCTAAAACGATGCCGTACCCTATCCCCAGGATGCTGATTAGATGCGCCTTGATATCGCTTACTTCATATACACCGACTGTATATTCCATCAGTTCACACACTTACTTATGTCTGACAAATGGCTCTCCAGGTCATTACTCGAGAGTCTGCACTACAGCAACTGTGTGGCGACGTCGCTGCGTACTTGGCAACAGCAAGGCTATGATCAGCTGCTGATGTTCCTGGCCAAAATGGGCATTTCACTCTGGGAGTGCCGAGAAAAATACACGGAAATGACCCTCAAACTAAGAGAAAAGGTGCGTGTGCGTGTGTATATACATGTGCGATGGTCTCATGTATCTATAAGTATGATAAGCTCGCATGTATTATATATATGTGTGTGTGTGTGTGTGTGTGTGAACACCTGGTGTTTGTATGTGTCAGTGGACATACCTTTGTACGCATTAATTGACCATCCTGCTACGATATTGTTGTTTGGCAGAGATACAAACATGATCTTAACACAAACGACAAGATTTGTGTCTTTACGTTCCAGCCTTTGTACGCATCTGCATTGGCGAGAGCGATGCTGGCGTTGCTTGTCTGGTTTGATTCGATCGTTAGTGTAACCCAGCTGTCATTGTAGTGGTGCTAGCAAATTACATGGACGTGTATGGATAAAGTTTTGTGATTGAGCATATGTAGAATGTATGACCATTATGCTTAATATATATATATATCTTATAATTATGGTGCCAGAGTATATTTCAGGAGATCAGCTTAAATCTCGGACTCGGTATTCAGGGCAACTACCACACATCTCTCTCTATTGGCATAGATGCAGGTCCCAGATTCCGATCATGTGAAAAGTGATCTTGTGTTTGTTCCGCATGAAAATTCTTATCCTCAAAACTTGAGTAAAATATCTGAGTTTGGTTTAATATTATAATATCGATTTACCGTCAGTGGTAACAGTGTGCATTATTACGCAGTCTGTAAACAGTGAAGTGGGTTTTGTGTATAGCGTTATGTATAATATATATATATATATATATATTGTGTGTGTGTGTGTGCGTGTGTGTGTGTAAGTGTGTGTGTGTAAGTGCTTGTATGAAATACACCAGTATATCGCATATTATCGCTCGGAATCCATATCACAAACCTCCAGGGATTGACATATATATCATTCTTCCATCCTTAACATCTCCCGCATACCACAGTTCAAGACCAAATTATTGGAACAGGGCCATGATTACGGGCTAGATGATATGGTCTACGAATCATTCTACAGAAAACTACCCTTCCGCACCCCTACGTCGGCCAGCGACTTCGTATATGCGATTGGAGGTATGGACATCCGCGTGATTACCTCGTAGATGTAACTGTGTGCTAAAAATATATTCTGGTTCTGTGGTTGCCGCGCATGCATAGTATGACGGGTATGCTTTCCACTCGGCGTATGTGATAGATATCTAGTCCAGGAGCTACGTCTGCTACTAAATAGGGCGATATTTTACTTACCTACTCTCACTTGCCTACTTGTTTATATCTCTATATTTCACTCACCCACTCTCACTTACCTACTTGTCTACATCTCTATATTTCACTCACCCACCCCCACTTACCTACTTGTTTACATCTCTATATTTCACTTACCCACCCCCATTTACCTACTTGTTTACATCTCTATATTTCACTCACCTAGCCTCACTTACCTACTTGTCTACATCCCTAAATTCCACTCACCCACCCTCACTTACCTACTTGTCTACATCTCTATATTTCACTCACCCACCTCCACTTACCTACTTGTTTACATCTATATTCCACTCACCCACCCTCACTTACCTACTTGTCTACATCTCTCTATTTCACTCACCCACCCTCACTTACCTACTTGTTTACATCTCTATATCTCACTCACCCACCCTCACTTACCTACTTGTTTACATCTCTATATTTCACTCACCCACCCCCACTTACCTACTTGTTTACATCTCTATATTTCACTCACCCACCCCCACTTACCTACTTGTTTACATCCCCATGCGACAGCCTTACTACAACGCCCGCATGTTCAATCGCTTAGCAGCGCCGCGTCAGGCGCCTCTGCAACCGACCCAGCACTGGACGAGGCAGCCATTGAGCCAAGGTGAGTTTATTTATAGAAGTGTTGCCGGCACGTGCGTTTCTATAAATAGAACTTGCCCAGGCAGCTAGTGCATGCTCAATCCGACTTTGACGAAGCAGCCATTGAGCCTCAGGTTTGTCTATGCATGCGATTGTTGCCAGAACGTGCGTGTCTATAAATAGAACTTGCTCCGTCCGATGTTCAACGAATCAGCGATTGACCCAAGGCTTGCCTATATCCCCTTCCCCACGAATTAACCACAGCAATGCCTCTACTTTCTTCTATCGCGAGTTCTGATTTGGTTTTTGGTTTTGGGTTTTGGTTTGCCTTCGCACTGAATAGGGAATGGCTGAGGCGAAACTTCTTCTCGGCCCTCGATGCGATGTCAGACTCGCATTTGGAAGAGTTCGAATCTGGGCTGCAGTTCAGTATGGTGCAACAAAAGGCTGTGGTAAGTTTAATATTTGGTACGGGATAAAGTCACCTCCATCCAATTTCCGGTTGCGATAATTTTTGTGTTGCATACAAATGGGATTTCTGGTTGTGATACGTGTTTGTGTTGTAAATAAATGTGATTTCTGGTTGCGATATGTGATTGTGTTGCGTTGTAAATAAACGTAATTCCTGGTTGCGATACCCGTTGTGGCGTACTTACTTACATAGAATGATTGTGGGTCCTTTGGCTCAGTTGTGGTGGCCGCAGATGCCATTGAATACTCAATGCGCTGTTAATGTGTATTAAGTTCGTATACAGTATAAGTACACTGACTTAGTACTCTGGGTGTATGATAGAATTGGGGTGTCCTGGTATCTGTATAACCATGTGAACCGACTCAGGACCTCGAAGCCCATATATATAAAAACCCGGTTTTAAACCCGGTTTTACTTTCTTGGCGCTGTAGGTTGAACAGGTTAAAGCCATGAGCGAACAGAAGGCGTTCACCAACACTCGGTACTTCCGCCATGTCAAAACGTGCAATCAGTACGAGATCTTTGCGTCGCCGCTAATGCTGATTCGCTTGGCTCTTTTCCTGTGTAAGTGGCTAATATGTACGTTTCTGTGTGCACTTTGGAAGATGGTAGGTCTTGTATGCATGTGCGCGGGTATACATTTCGTTACAGGGAGGTATACATGTATACACGTATATATATATATTTAATGTGAGATCCAACATCAGAGGCTAGTTAACTATAGAATCCTTTTAACAGAAATATGCAATCAAGTTGGTCTCGATGTTTGTGTTCAGGTGCACATCAATATGAAGATTCGACATACATCAGCTACGAATTCGAGTTCTCCCACACAATAGTGGAAGACCATTCTGAAGTCAAATTATATCTGCAACACGCAGTAAAGTGGCGCGTGCAAAACCCTGTGCGATTGGCACGCCATTCGATGGTAGCACATCCCACACACAGCTCTACCTGAAGAGTGTGTCAATGCTCGTACGTAGCTCTGGCCCATTCCTTAAACCGTTCCTTCTATTCCTTCTATTTGTTGAATCATACCTGTTTGATCGCCGATCGTAGCACAAGTGTCTCTGCTTTTTTAGGAATATCTACCATCATACAGCAATGTACACCCCCCCCCCTCAAGTTTCAACCTGCTGACTCCGTATTGCCCTAGTATCATTACTATAAGTATGGGTTTATGTATAAAGTCTCGTTAATGTACACACGAGTTATAGGCTGAAGAGTTCTCATTGTAACTAGTATCCGTGCATGTTATCTCTCTTCTCATTGAATCCGTGTATGTTACCTCTCTTCTCATAGTATCCGTGTGTGTCACCTCTCTTCTCACCTGTGGTGTTCCATTGTATGCCTTTGCACTGTAACTACGCAGGTGAGTACTTTGCCATAGCCAAACCGGATTCGCGCAAGCCGTTTGTGGTGTCGTCCCTGATTGCGAGCAAAGACGTGTACCTGGTGGTAGGCGTAACGGGGGCAGGCAATACAGGCAGCGTCAAGAAAAAGTATGATACGGGCGTGTTGTGTGGAGAAAACGTACTCAGTGTGCGGTGGTGTTTAGAAGAACCACGTGATATATATGGCTACTTGAGTGATATCTAAATCTGTCCAAAACGTACTCGTGACGTTTATCTGTGGTGCGTGATTGAGAACGAGCCAGTACCTTGTGATGGGTGTAACGGGACTGAATATAAAGTCAGTACCCAGGGATGAACCATAGGAAGGGAAATACAGGTATTGACAAAGCAAAGCATATCATATATAGGGTAGTGTAAGTAGAACCAGGGATGAACCATAGGGAGAGAAATACATTTATTAACGAGGCAAAGCATAATTGTATATAGGGTAGTGTAAGTTGAACCAGGGATGAACCATAGGGAGAGAAATACAGGTACTAACAATGCAATGAATAATCGTATATAGGGTAGTGTAAGTTGAACCAGGGATGAACTATAGGAAGGGAAATACAGGTATTAACAAGGCAAAGCATAATCGTATATAGGGTAGTGTAAGTAACACCAGGGATGAACCATAGGATGAGAAATACAGGTATTAACAAGGCAAAGCATAATCGTATATAGGGTAGTGTAAATTGAACCAGGGATGAACCATAGGAAGAGAAATACAGGTATTAACAAGGCAAAGCATATCATATATAGGGTAGTGTAAGTAGAACCAGGGATGAACCATAGGGAGAGAAATACAGGTATTAACAAGGCAAATCATAATCGTATATAGGGTATAGTGTAAGTTGAACCAGGGATGAACCATAAGAAGGGAAATACAGGTACTAGCAAGGCAAAGCATAAGCATATACATGGTAGTGTAAGTTAAAGTACGTGTTGCTCTGAGTATTGTATGCCGCACTCGTGTTGGTATCAGTCACCGATAGCAAGTGAGACTTGCGCTTCGTAGTGGGGTGTGCAAGTGGTGGGAAACAGATAGAACTGCGGTACATCCCACCCGCAAGAAGTGCAGACAAAGTATAGTATCAACAATATTAATGAAAAAGTATAGTATAATCAATATTTATTTAATGAGAAAGTATAGCATCAACAATATTAATTTAATGAGAAAGTATAGTATCATCAATATTAATCTAATGAGAAAGATTGTGCGTGTCTCGGGACTGTTCAATATCTGTCATGTCTTCAATGATCACACGCAAAAGCTTCCATCTCTTCAATGAATATGAAAACATAATATCTCAGCATCGATGTTCGGGAGTATGTATAGCGACAGTCTCATTGCCACATACGTACGTACGTACGTACATACATACATACATACATATATACATACATACATACATACATACATACAGGGTTTAGGGTTTTAGCAGTCTCATTGGCTGTTGAGTGGTATATTTGGTGTACCTAGTGTCCCTGTTTGATGGCGCCAGTAGATGCAAGCATTGAGACATGCCTGAAAGTGAGGTGAACTACACTGTCTTGTGCTGTGAGTGTACGTATCCCTGCCTCGGTGAACTACACTGTCTTGTGCTGTGAGTGTACGTATCCCTGCCTCGGTGAACTACACTGTCTTGTGCTGTGAGTGTACGTATCCCTGCCTCGGTGAACTACACTGTCTTGTGCTGTGGGTGTACGTAGCCCAGCCTCCGCAGTTATAGCTACACGTTTTGTTTTCGTCTCACTGATAGTGACCGTTACGCTGGCGTATAACCCTCGGGATGTGTATATGCGCGAAATGCCTACGCTGCGTTTATATAACCCCTAATATACGCTAAACATATTGGCATACATTTAGCTGAGATCCATCTCATTTAACCTTACGGCATACGAACTAATATTCATAATGATACTTTCCCACCCACCTTCCTTCAGTCCCTTTGGCTTGGTTTTCAGACAAGCAGCGGAGCAGATCAACGCCAGTTTCCGCCACGACAGCTTTGATACAAATGTTATAGAAGTCCAACGCAAATCTTGGGAACACTTCCTCCTTGCCTTGGATGTAAACTGGGTTTAATTCGACGCTCTAATGCTCGAAACTAAACGCATACATCTCTCGACGAATATATTTACTATAGTTAATCATATTTATTTTTTAACGCATTTTTCAAGGTTATGTTATATACAATTGATATACATTATGACGCCTAAACC